GCGTGGGCGAGCGGGGGCGGTCCGGCAAGCCAGGCAGGCAGCAGGCGAGACGGCGGCTGGGCGGTGCAGGTGCGGAGCGGGTGCTGCAGCAGGGCAGGGAGGGCACGTGGCTCTGGGCCCCGGCCTGGCAAGTGCCGTGTGGCCCGGGACCTGGTCTTTGCTCCAGACGCCTGGTGGCACTGCATAGACAGCAGCCACGCTGTCCGTCTGGCCCAGGACCCCACACGCAAACTTTCAGCTCCTTGCCGCTGCTCCGAGGGCCACGGACGTGCCTTAAGCCAGGGCGAGCTGAGCGTCCCCCCTCCCCAGGGATGTGCCCCAGCGCCGGGGCTCCCTGAAACGCCGCGGGGTGGGAGCGGGTCCTGCTGGCTTTGCCCCACGGCCGCAGTAACCTCGCTCCGGCTGGTAGCAGCTCCCACGGCCCCTCCTGGCTCGTGCCTTCTGCAGCCCCACACGAGAACGACGGCTCTTGCCCAGGGAGCCGTATGCCGAGGCGAGCGTGGCCGCCGCTCGCCGGGGCGTTGTGCCCCAGTCCAGCGGGCACGCTCGGGAGCTTTAGGCACTGCTAGCTGGCCCCTCACCCTGCTTGGCCAGCTGGGTATGCTGCTGGACCCAGGCCCAGCCCTGCAGCGATGCCTACCATGCTGCCCAGTGGCAGAGCGCCGGCGCTGCTGCTTGTGGCAGGCGCTGGTTTCCTCGCGTCCCTCTGTCCTCACCCTCCCTCCCTGCCGTCTCAACCCCTGCCAGCCCACCCGGTGCCCAGCCCAGCCCAGCGGGCCTGATCCTTGGTGCTGCTGGACTGTAACCAATGCATGCCAAAGGTGACATCATAATACCCCACGTGACATCACTTCTGGAGCAGTGATGTCACAGTGTGGAAGCAACGGCTGTTTTCTCAGGATTCCAGGCTGGAGCCCGGGCCTCGCTGGGCGCTGCTCCGGGGGTGAGGAAGGAGCCCCTCGGTGCTGTGGTCTGAACCGGGGTGGGAGCAGTGTGACCCGGGGGTGCGCACGCTCTAGAGTGGGAAGAAGCAGCCCCGCGGGGGGTGCTCGGTGACAGGCCGGGGCGGGGCGCGGGGTCCCTGGGTAGTGTTAGCTGTGGCTGGAGTGATGAAGCTTCCTGGTCTCTGCGGTTTGGATGAAGCCCCCCTCCTCTTGCTGCCAGGGGAGCTGCGTGTCGGCCCCGGAGAGGATGCTGCGTCTGGTCGGGACCAGGCTCGCTCGCAAGTGGTGGAGGCAGCTCTGGGCGCAGCCCCTGGCCAAGCCCGCCTGCAGGTACTGGCGCCACGTCCACGCTCTGGCCTGGGGCAGCCTGTCTTGGGCGCTGGGCCCGGGCGCGGGCGGTGCGGTGCGGTGCGGCGTGGTGCGGTGCTGCACCGGCGCCTCCTCCCGTGCCGGTTCTGTGATGGTGTCGCTGTTCCCTTGCCCTGCGCCCAGCGTGACCGCTGCTCTCGGGGCCGCGTTTCTGGTCTGAGCCCCTGTGCCACCGTCCGACCTGGCTGCTTCTCGCTGAGGAGATCTGGGTGGACTGGCACCAGATCTGTCTGTCTCCAGCGTGCCCAGCACCACAGCGTGCAGGCTCCCGCTGGGCGCGCTGGGCTCTGAGTTAGCAACCACCACTGCCCTGTCCATCTCCCCTGCGCTCCCAGCCCTGGGATCCTCCTGTGTGCTGGCATCCCCCCCGAGGGTCCCAGGTGCCACTGGTGCTCCTGGACGAGCGAGGCTCGCACGGGCAGGTGCTGAGCTCTGGCTCTGGTGGCCGTGCCCTCACCACATCGCAGCACCGCGGTTTGTGTCCCCAGGCTGCCGTGCTACAGAGCGCTCCCGAGAGCCAAGTACTCGAGTCAAAAAGACCCGGTAAGTGAGACCCAGACCCGGACACGGGCATGGGCAAACTGGGTAGCTGCCAGAAAATGGGCAGAAAGGGGGCCTCAAAATGGTCATTTTGTTCCATTGCCCTATTATTATCACCATTATCTCTGGCAAAGGGGGGCCCCATACTAAAAGCTCGCCCGGGGCCACCGGGAGTCTAGGTTTAGCGCTGGTGAGACCCTCTGCCGCTCTGAGGCCGTCTGCGGCGCCGGCTCGAGCCTGGTTTCCAGGCTCCATAGCAGGGCTGTCTCCAAAGCCCCAGGGCCCGGGTCTCGCAGGGGCCGAGCTGCTCCCGCAGCCGCAACCTGTGGGCATCAGCAACTGGTGGCAGCCCCCGTGATGCAGCCCATGAGGAAGTAAATGAGGCCAGAGGCCTCTCCATCGCCACGGGCCCTTGTGCACCCTGCGGGCGGGCGGAGCCCTAGCCCGCACCCCGGTACGGTGCCGCGAGGATGGCCCGGCTAAGCGAGCCAGCTGGAGAGCCGATGGGCCGTGCGGCTGGTCCATGCCCCGAGGAGCGGGCTCCAGGACCAGCTGCGGTGTGGGAGGCGGGCACCAGCCCCGCGACCCCAGAGAGGACAGCTGCCCCCCTCGACCGGCCACGTGCTCCCGGAGCCCGGCCCCGCCACGAGCTGCGAGCCGTCCAGCTGTGCGAGCACGTGGTCACCGCTGTCGTCTCCTCCAGGAGCCCGGGTCCTTTGTCAGGAGCACGTTCAACGGGCAGCTCACCCCCGACCACGTCTTCCCCTTCCCCTCAGGTAGGAGGGCTCGGGGTGCCGGCACGTGGCACTGGGCACCAAGCGGCACCGTCCCAGCCGGCGCCTTCCCGGGGGGCTGCATTGGAGCGGGCAGTCCTGCGCCACGGGCCTCCCCAAGGCCGCCCTGGAGG